GTACGAAGGAAATAACCTGTATTTGAGCGAGTACATTTCACGGTTTCAAAGTAGATTTCATTAAATGGAGATTGAACTTTGTGTCATGCAATTTTGGTCCGAAATCATACTTGAGATTCGAATCAAACTTGCGCAGCGCGCTCGTGCGATTTTGAAATCACACGTATGATTTCGTCAGACCTAATAATATACTTCCAAAGATTTCAGAACGCTCATTAGCCAAGAACAAGTCGATTAATCCCAATCAGTGCACAAAGTTGCTATTGAGTGCAAAAGTTGAATTGAGCGCAGAAAGTTGAAATTAAATTGATTGATAGGTACGGCGTGAAAGCACAACAAAACAAAATGGCGGAAAAGGGAAGTAAAAGCTAAAAGACACAACCCGGCGGAAACAACTGGCTAAAATTCTGGAGGTCTTTGGCATCAAAAAACAGCCATGAAAGTATGAACCAGAGGCCCCAAAAAAGTTATTGGGGAGTGCTGCGAAACAGTTCGTTCTAAAGACGGAGAAGATTTATACGAGCGCGATGGCTTTCGTGTTATGGTTACTGCTGTCGACCGATACCTAACAGAGAAAGAGTACAAACGCCCCATTATTCGTGATAGAGAGTTAGAAAGCTTGAAGCAAGTTCTTGAGGGAAAAGCCTGCCTATTCCAGCAACAAAGCAAAGGCAGGCGGCCGAGCCAGTGAGTCAAGGCAAGGAATAAAAACAACTAAAGGGGAAAACAGAGACAGATTTTTGCTTATGCATTATTAAGTAGTAATCACATAATTTTCCCGTGAAATTTAGGATAAATATGCACTTATAAATTGAAGACTACAAATTGCATTCTCTTGGGCAATTTGGTCAGCCTTGTTAAAATTTACTGGTGCCGATTTATCCCAAATTACACTCGAAATCATGTGATTACCTATACAAACTGCGCTCCACTCAGTTTAATTACCATTTTGTAAAAGCCGGAGCACTTAAGGCAAGCCGTATGCGTAATAACAACAGACTCAAAATGAGCTTTCAAGAGAGCGTTTATTTTAAAGTCAGATAAATTAACGGCTAAACAGTAAAACATATGGGAGAATGATCGCCAAATTGGTGCCGAAAATTCAATCTGTGTCCATGCAATTATTTAGATTTAACCGAGCGTTAAAATTCTGATTAATGACATACACGCAACTGAACCAGGAACGGAATAACTCTCCAGGTAATTGCGTAACTAAACTAGAAAAAAACACGAAGAGCAAGGAGAATAAGGCCATAAAGATTGGATTTCTATTACTTATTTTAATCAAATCCAGTAATTGCCCTCCGTGAAAGTGCTTTCGCCAATGGCTGTGTCACCAACCCACAAACGCAGCAGCAACAACGTGCAAAGCCTAAGCTTCGCTTAGTGCGACGAGTACTGTTGTTTGGAGTGTGGCTTTCGGCTGGCATTATGTGAAACTCAATACCAGCTTTACAATCTTTGATGGTGTCAAGTTTTTTGTTCTTAATCTCACTAGCCACGCTGCTTCTCAATGAAGCTCCAAAGGCTCCTGTGGGAGATAAAAAATAAGAGAAATTTAGCAAAGTTCGAAGCCAAAACTACTCAGTGTAGCCATGACTACACTGAGTAGTTTGATAAAAAATTTCTCTTAAATTCTGCCGTCTTTTAGTCGACCAACAATCGTAATTGTTGAATTCTGACGTACTGAATAATGACAAAATTACGGCAGCAAAAATAAATCAAGGGAAGTTAAACGAGACGAAAACCAAAAAGAAGAAAAGGACAAGAAAGCAAGAAAAGAGCAAAGTGGAATTTCTTTGAAAAGACTCTATCCAAAATTTTATTGAAAACAATTTAAATGTACTCTCAAGAGTATTTTTTTCTGTTTATCTATGCTTCTTAATTGGATGATAAATTTCAAATCAAACAAATCATATGCCGAGAATAGTGCCCTAACCGACCAACCTGGAAACAGCTTGTCCAATTTCGTGACGATTTGCATCACTCCTGAACACTTCACCATCTTGAAATAGTAGAGTGTGGTCGTGTAGGCTGAGGAGTTTGTGTTTCCAGTGGAAAGCATTTTGCGAAATTCTTCTTTTTGGAAACCACGGCCTTCCAGATCTACGCTCTTCAGCATCTTCATCAGATCAATCTCGTTTGTTGAGTATGTAGGATTTAGGATTCTCAAGGTAATAGTTTCGTTATACCTCTGGTCTGCAACATTGAAATTTTAGAAAGTTAAATCTGCTGAATCTTAGAATTGACATACTGGGCTTCTGGGCTTCTTTCCCCATTCTTTCTCTGTCCCTTTTGGTTCCAGATGAATTTCGGAAAAGCGTTTGACGGTAAAAATTGACTCTTAAGGTTGATTCACAAGGAACCGATGATTTACATCTATTGCCCAACTGTTACCGTTAAAAGCCAGATACACACGGACAAAAGTTTAGATAACTTACCAACTGCAGGGTGAGTGGAAACCAAACTTACAAGGACAAAAATTATTAGCTCACAAATTAACTTCATTTCCAGTCAGGTCTGAGGTACTCTGGTTTAGATTACTCGCTACGCCTTGGAACAAGCTGATTGCTAAAACGAGCATTAATCGTGGTCATTTATAGCTGCAAGCACGGCCGAGAATACGAATAATGCAATACGTGTGTTTATACTGATCAAGCATCAAGTTGGACGGATATAAATTGGACTGAAACAAGGTCGAGGTCTATAAACACACAAGTTCAGCAAAAAAAGCATCCAATATCTGTTCATATTGACTGAACAGGCCTGTTCAATTTGTCTTTGTGGTCAAAAGATTGCACCATTTAAACCGCCAAATAACTCTCATAAAATGTCATGGCTTTCATCGTGTTGGTTATCTTCAAAACATGGTAAAATTAAAACGTTTGCCAAAAGTTACGCAATATGGAGGGGACCTAAAAGAATTGCTAAGCAGAACGTAGTCAGCCGAGACCGACTCATATTAAAAAAAAAAATAGCCTAAATAGACTTGTCTTTTCCTCGAATCTCTCTAAAAGAACAGAGAAGTAAGTGCTGGATGAGGGTGCGACGCAAGGGAGCCTCTTTCGGTGTAACGCTATTACACCTGATTATTTTCGGTTTGCTCGCCTTGCGCACTTACGAAAATTTCAATTTCACTGGACAGACATCTATAAGATATCATGGTGTATGTTTGATCAATAAAGCAAACCAAACTACCCAAAGCACATTGGTTTGGAAGGCATCCGTCCCTCTCCTGAAAGTGGACTCTTCTTCCACTTTCACATGTCCATAATCAACTGACATGAAAGCCTTTTAGCTTTGGTTTTGGAAGTAAAACACTTCTTAATGATTGAGCCCGAAACTAAGAGATCCAACCCGGCCCTTATTTCATCAAATAACAAGTTGTGGTTGAGATTGCACATAACAAAGGGTTAGTTTCCAAGGTTGTGATTGTCAACTTAATAGGACACTGCCCATTTCTCCTTGATTTTTTCAACGGATTAAGTTTAAAGATGATAGAGTTCTCTTAAGCTGTCATGGTTTTCAGATCAAGAGTACCAAGGTCTGAGGATCTGCCTGCTGAAGCAAGCATGAGCAGCATACTTAGTTTAAGATTTTATTAACTGAGTCGATACTGTAAATTTGCCACCCTAATGAGTTAAAAAGTCTTAATAAAGGCCAATGTACATTATCAAC